AATGTTGAATCACTATGTTGTATACCTGAAACTAATGTAAGATTATATGCCAACTATACTTTAAAAAAGTCAATGGACTCATAAGCCCTGTGCTATGTATTGTAGCACCAAAAGGGAAGAGGAGTGAAGGGAGAGTGGGTCCACTCACACCCACCTCTTGGCCAGCTCTGCTGCAGTGAGGTCTGTATCTAGAAGTGCCAGCAGTTGAAAAGGTGGAAGCTCATGGCATGTATGGGAGAGGCCGAGAACAAGAGCCTGAGAGGTAGACTCTAATGGGAAAATTCAAGGAGGAATGTGTACTCAAAATATCTGCTTTCTCTCTGTATGCTGTAAAACTTAGTCTGGAAAGGTGGAGTATAGCTTGCATACAATGAACATATAGTTCTTTTATATCCAGACAAAATAAACCTTATGTTCTTTAAAAAATATTTATTTATTTTTAAAGGGGAAGGGAGGGAGAAAGAGAGGGAGAGAAACACTAATGTGTGGTCACCTCTCACGCACCCCCACACTGGGGACCTGACCTGCAGCCCAGGCATGCGCCCTGACCAGGAACAGACCAGGAACCCATCCACCTACCCTTGCCTCGCAGGCTGTCACCCAATCCACTGAGCCACAGCACCCAGGGCTAAACCTTATATTTTTAAAAGGTGGTTATGCAGGGTAGTGCTAACTGTGGTGGTAGCAGCAATGAATGGGTTAATGCTGATGGCTTAAAAGTCATTTATACCTCTTCTGCTTAACTTGAACTGCTTTTTATTGCAAGGAATTTGGAGAGCTAAAAATGGTGAGGACCACGCTTACTGCCCTTGAGATGTTTACAAGTGAAAAAAGCAAAAGAAAGAAAGAAAGAAAGAAAGAAAGAAAGAAAAGCTAAGAAAGAAGAGACAATTCTGAAGGGAGAGGCAGAGGGAAGGCTTTGTGCAGAAAATGGGGAGGGATGGGGTACGCATTCCCTGCGGCATTTTAATTGTGGGATTCAAGTGCCTTTTTCCGAAGGGACTGGACAAATTGGAAAGATAATACCTTTGTGTCATCAGTGATGCAAGTTTTGTTAACAAAAAATGCTGTCCACAAGAGTGTATGGGAAATGGGGAGCCATTTGCCTGCAGAGAACCCCTCGCTCCTGGCTGCTAGAGGCAACACCTGGAAGGTAGTCTCCTTGGTCAGTCCAGTGAGCCTGGAGAAGCCAGAGGGCTGTTTACCAAGCTCAGCAGTGAATGAGTCATGCCTGTGGACTTTTGTCGCCACACCTGAGTCTGAGGCAGAGGAGAAAGACAAGCAGCCATTCCCAGCCCCTTTCTGGGATAGCACATTCGCCCCTCCAGAGCCCTCAGAAGGGATTTTTGAGTTAGCATTCCTGCAGTTGGGGGGTACTGAGGGGCTGTGGGCAGGAGTGATTGGCAGGTAGCAAGGCTGTCAAAGTCCCTCCCTGGGCATGCCCTGTCTCACAGCCCCTAGCATGGCTCCACACAATGTCCTGGAGGGGAATTCTTCCCAACTGTGCCTACGAGACAATGTGCTCACAGTCTGACTACACAGGTGACAGTCTGACTACACAGGTGAGTGCTGCCTGTGGAGAGGCCCAGGGTCGGGCCTGCCGACTGGAGTCCTGGTGCTCTCTGTGCTGCTGCTTTGGGAGAGGACAGGTGGCTAACTTGTCCAGTCTAACCTGCCCGACACCTTGTCCAAGTGCTCTGGGCCGACTGAAACTCTTTTCCTCTTTCAGTCAGAGTTGGAGGCGGGGCGGGGTGAGAGGAAGGAGCAGTCATCTGGCCGCACCCTGGCTGTGGGAGGTGTTTGCAAACACTCCCGGCATTCAGCGAACCTTCAGGGTCCACTGCCCCAGGGCCAACGACAGTGGGTCTGTAAAGCGGGGAGAAGACAGATTCTCACTGCAGAGCAGTCAGTGTGTGAGTCTTAAGGTACAGACAATGTGCTCTGATTGGAGGAGGGAGAAAAGGACTATCCAGGAATCTAGGGAGCAGGAGCCAATTCCCAAACAAGCCCCCTTCTGGAGCTCCTGGCGTCTCTCTTCTCTGACAAATGTCTAATTCCTGCCTCTAGTGACCCCCACTCCTCTGAGTTTACCCCTGTCACTGCCCAGTGTCCACAGGGAAAGTTCTTGATCTCGATTTCTCAGGGGTGGCTAGGCAGCCCTGCGCGACCCCAACCCGCCACCTCTGCTTTAACCACAGAACCTATTTGTGTATGACAGAAACCCAAATAGATGAGGTCACAGGTACTATCATTTTTCCTCCCCTCTCTATGGAGCCCTTCCTCCACTTTGTCTTCTAATCCTTTCCATGACTGGAAGGAATGCTTGGTGTCATACTCAGCCCGTGAGGCTGTGCTGTCCGGGTAGGTTTCATTCCCGACTCTATTGTGAGGGCTGTGCTAATCGTGTGAGTGCGGCAGGTGGGGAGGGGAGGCCAGAGCTGAAAAACTTTTCTCCCAGCATCAGTTTTGACTTCAGATCTCTGACTTTGTCCAGCTGGGATGTAGTGGAGCAGTAGACAGGTAGGACAAGCAAGAGGGAAGAATATTCCTTATTTAATGCAGTACCAGTACAAAATGGACACCAAGGGTGGATAAGGGCTGGGACAGAATGGGGCTGTAGGCAGATGTCCCCAGGTGAAAATGAAGAAGGTATCTAGCTGTGACCTGCCATGCTATTGGCTGCTGGCCTACTCCTTATACCTGCCTTATAACCTACAGCACAGCCACTGCCCAAGATCCTCTGAAAGCTGGCTCACCTTGTCTAATACTGTAGTATAAACATGAACACTCCTTAGCCTGGAGTTCATGATTTACATGATCTGGGCACCCCTTCCTTGGCTGTCTAATCTCCACCACCTGTCCCCAGTGCCTTCCTAAAATATCCCACACTCCAGCCCCAAGGGACTCATAACCCCTAAACATGCCATGAACTCACCGGACCCCACCCCTTGCTAAGGCTGGTCTGTTCTCTCCTGAAACGCTCTTCCACCATCATCTTCTCTGCCCATCAAATCTAGTATACCCTTTAAGACACAGGTCGATACTACTCCCTTCATCAAAATCCACTTGCTTAGAGAAATCGCTTTCTCCTTAAAGCATCCAAAGCATTATATTAATACAGGACTTCTTATAGCATTGGTCATTCCTCAGAACTGAGTCTCTTTGGAGGTAGCAACTAGCACAAAGTAAGTTCTCAATAAATCTTTACGGTAATGAATGGAGCCATGAGGTTGAATGAGGTTAATAGATGGCCAGGAAGGGAAAACAGCGCAAAAACAACAGAGTTCTGTTAAGCTTTCCTGCCTCTTACGTGTCTGGTGCCTCCTTTCCTTCTCCCTACTGATCACATTAAATGTTTACAACGTACTAAATAGGCTTTTCCCACACTGTAGCTGCCCTCAGTGTCAAACCTGAGGTATAATGTCTGTTTTGTCATTTCCTACATGGTAAAAGAGAACATTGTGTACTCATGGTTGACTGGAATAACCTGCAACTCTTCAATTCCACAGCACTGTCCAAGGACCTACTGTGTACCCAGGTTTCTGCGAGGAGCTGTGGCAGAGACAAGTCACATAAGTCACCGCCTGGTCCCTACCCTGAAGAGGGATATCAGAAGCCAAACTGTGGACAAATCTGAGTGAAGCCTTGCAGGGGGAAGGACTTGGCTGGGCAGAGGTTGGTAGGGCAGCCACAGGACAGCGAAGTGCTAAAGACGTGGAAGTGGGAAGATTACCTGGGTTACAATTTGTTCAGGAGCTAGAGGAGAATGACTCAGCGTGGGGTCAGAACTGGAAGGCCCTTAAATCTCTAAGTCTGAAGTTAATACAGGTGAGGCAACATCGTAGGATTTCAAGCAGGTTAGTTAGGGCAACAATATGCAGTGTGGACTGGAGGGAAGAGAGCCCAGAAATCAGGGGAATACTAATAGAAATGCAAGATTGGGGTTCTGAGGATCTGGAAGAAGCAAGGAAAGCAGTGAAAACATTGGATGAGAGTCAGGACACCTGGGTTCTAGTCCTGGCTCTGTTGTGGGGCCTTGAACCAGTCACTTCTCAGTTCTGGGCCTTTTCTTAACTGTAAAACCTAAAAACCTTCAAAGATCCACAGTTGAGCCTTAGAAGCAGGATATTGGGAATGAAGGGAATATGCCAATCTAATGGACATTTGGAACAAGGAAGCGACTCACGAGGAGTACAGAGATAAAGAGCAGGGAGAAACCAAAGAGGGTCCCCCAGGAAGAAATGGGGAAACGGGGGTGGGCGGACCCTCCGCTCCTGACTTCTGGTTTGGCAATCCAGGTTCAGTTCCCCCTTTCTTCTCCTTCTCTAACTTAGCCTTTTAGCCTCACCATATTTGGTGAGGGCAGGGCAAAATTGGACACCCCACACCACCTCATACCGTCCCCCCACCCCGCCCCACTTTACCTTCCCCTTTTCAGGCTTTGACATGATCCTCCTCCTTCCCCACCCACCTGGCACCATCCCAGAACCCGCTGTCCTCCACAGTAACCACCCGGGCGGTCAAAGCAGAAAGAGCGGTGAATTTTTTATCATGTTCATTATTACTCTCATAGCTAGTGTTTACTAAGAACTCACCACGAACCAGGCTACATTTTTTTTTACAGCAATTCTAGGAGGTGATTGTTAACTCATTTTACAGATGGAGAGATTGAGACCAAAAGATGTTCTCTAATCTGTGCAAAGTCACACATGCCAGTGGGCAATGCCAGACTGGAAAGGAGGTCCGATTCCCAAGTCAGTTCCCCGTCCAGTTTCGGTTGGGCGGTTGTGGATTCCATCCCTCACCCACCTACCACCTCACAGACCAGAATCCTCCAAGCCCCGCCCCTCTCTCGCCTCGCCAGCCCCGCCCCCGGCGCTCCGGGCGCCGCGGGGCGTGAGCCGCAGCTTTTGGGGCGGGTACCGTGGGTGGGGCGGGGCGGTCTGAGGGAGGAGGGCCCAGGCGGGGGCGTGGCCGGAAGCCTTAAAGTGGCCCGGGCGGTGGGGCGGGCTGTAGAGGCCGCGAGTCGCGGCGATCTTCTCGCTTTGGTGTATACTACAGCGCAGTCACCATGTCCCTGGCGGCTTCGGCGGGCCGGGGCCCGGGAACCGTGTGGTCCCCAACACACGTGCAGGTGACGGTGCTGCAGGCGCGGGGTCTGAGGGCCAAGGGCCCTGGCGGCACAAGCGATGCGTACGCCGTGATCCAGGTGGGCAAGGAGAAGTACGCCACCTCGGTGTCGGAGCGCAGCCTGGGTGCGCCGGTGTGGCGGGAGGAGGCCACCTTCGAACTGCCGCCGCTGCTGTCCGCCGGGGCTGCTCCCGCTGCCGCCGTCACCCTGCAACTGACCGTGCTGCACCGCGCGCTGCTCGGCCTCGACAAGTTCCTGGGCCGCGCGGAGGTGGACCTGCGGGACCTGCATCAAAACCAGGGTCGCCGGAAGACGCAGTGAGTGCGGGCCGCGGGAGAGGACCCGGAGCAGGGGCGCGGGGAGTGCGGGGTGGCCTGGGAGCTTAGATCCGTTTAGAGTGATCGGGCCGTCTCGGCGCTGCTGTCTCAAGAGGACAGACAGGGAGAGACCGTTCAAAAGGGATCCCTCCCTGGAGCAATAGTAGCATTTTCACCTAGCTTCAACTTCTTCGGCTGTCCCGCTCCAGCTCTCCTAGTGTGTGGGCTCTGAAAGCTGGGAGGGGTACCTGGGGCGATTTTGAATCGGCAAGACCTCGCTCAGCGTCTGGAACTTAGTAAGCACTTCATGAATTTTTGATGAATTGAAAATACATGTGGGCTGAAAATACATGAATTCCTGTAGTGTAGTTAGTGTGTATATTTATTTTTTTAATTTTTAAAATGTTGTCCAAGTACAGTTGTCTCTATTTCCCCCTCACTTCCCCCCCACCCCACCCATCCCCACATCCCCCCTCGATCCTGCCCCCCTTTAGCTTTGTCCATGTGTCCATTAAACATGTTCCTTGATGACCCTCCCCCTCCCCCTCCCCATAATCCAGTACTGTGTACATTTGATATACGCATTAATTATGTGGAAAGCTTCCTAGGTATTTTACTGTACTCGACCAGGGCACAGAGAGGATTAACTGGGGGAGTGAAACCCACTGACACCCTGGCTCTAGAGGCTCATCCAGGGACGGAACAGGGGTATTACAGTGTGGGGTGGGTGGAGGTGAGGGCGGGGAATGGGAGTGCGGGTTGCCTGGTGATGGCTATCTCCCACCCCCACCTTACCCTGGCCTAAGGGATTCCGGAAGAGAATTTGGCCCTCCCTTCCCCCCTCTCCTCCCCAAAGAATGCTAGAACAGTTTGGTCTTAACCTTCAGACCAAAAAAAATATTAACCCTGTTTGCCTGGGCTCCAAATTAGTTTGAATTTCCCAGTGATGTCTGGAGCCAGGCTCTGCCCTTGGCCAAGCTCAGCTGGGAGGTAGGCGTTGTTTTTCTTTGGAGTTTGTCAAGTTGTGTCCCTGGCCCTGCTCCCACCAGATGGCTGTTCACCTGTAGCTCCCAGTCAAGGGTATCTCACTCCTGCAGGGAAAGCTGGGCAAAACCCAGTTCACTCCAAGATTTTACCCAGTTTTTTGTTCTCTTTCCTAGGTGTTTGGAATGGAACATTTGATTATACATCTAGTATACCAAAAGCTAATCTTACTTAGCTTTCTTGACTACTTGCTGGAACTTACATATGCAAGCCAGGATTGTTGCCACCTAGCCCCTACAGTTTATGAAGCACGCTGATTCACATTTTGTGTTTTAAATGTAGACAGTATTTTAACTTTACCTTGTGAAGGAGACGGGAAAAACTAGAGGGTTTGATGTTACCAGACTCCTTTTTCTGTAGGGTGGGTCCAATTTCAGCGTGCATGCTTGCAAATATAATACCTGATTTGCTTATCTGGCCAAAGATGAATAGGCATTTCTGAACTCGAATCAGATAAAAACAGAGAGCCTTGAGGTGAGGATGGATGGGGTATCTTCTTGGCATTAGCTTACAAGCCATAAGGTGATTAGTGTCTTTGCTAAGGAGGGGCTGAAGCCATGCTCATTTTTCATTTTATTAAATGACATCAGGGGCCTTGGGTTGGCTTCCTTTTCAACTTCAACTGGGCGCCATTAGCGGCTCTTTGTTTGGTCCCAACCCAAGATGTGTGGATATTATCATCTGTTTCTTATGGGAACATTTTATTGTCATGAAAGACAAAGTGCATCTCCCTGCCAGAGATGGGGACTCCATGTTCCCCTGTCTGGTACCTGCACTGGTCCTGACTCATTGTTGGGTTTCAGGCTGCTTGATTTCTCAACACCCAGGTTTCCCTATTTATGAATGGAGCTCGTTGCCCAACTTAATTAATGTTTGTAAGCTGTTTCTGGGTTCCTGGATTAATATAGATTTTAAAAGTTCTGGTACTGCTTTGTGAGGCAAGAAAACCCCCCTAAGCTCCCTGTTTCAGGAAGGGTTTAGTCTTTGCATCTTCATTTTCATCCTCTCCAATGTAACCCTAAACTGAGGTGGTCACTTCTATCTCTATTATATGAGCTGATTACCACTGAGTCACAATATCAGCTTGTAGGAAAAATGGTGCTTAGTGGATGGGCTTTTTCTTTTTTTTAATAACTGCAAACGAAGGCTTCTTTGCTTCTCTAGTAGGAGGTGAAACTACAAGCTTTCCATCTATCACTTCCTGGGACTTTCCAAGGTGCTGGGGGAACCCAGTTAAACAAATTGTCTGAGGCCTGGGCCCTCAAGAGAACTAAGATTTGGAGAATGAAAGGTGGAATTTTAACAAACTGGTTGGGCTAGGAAGTAATTTGAGCTAGTTATTAATGGTTTGACTCTACCTCAGACACTGAAAACCAGAAATAAAACAAAAGCTCATGCCCTGGCTTATGTGGCTGAGTGGATTGAATACCAGCCTATGAACCAAAGGGACGCTGGTTACATTCCCAGTCAGGGCACAAGCCTGAGTTGTGGGCCAGGTCCCCAGTTGGGGGTGTGCTAGAGGCAACCACACATTGATGTTTCTCTCCCTCTCTTTCAGCCTTCTCCTCTCTTTAAAAATAAATAAATAAAATCTTTTAAAAAATAAAGCAAAACAAAAGCTCCTATCTTGGTCTATAGGTCTGTGTATATGTGCGTGTGTTCATCTCTAGCAGAGGAGATTGCTGCTATAGAGTGTGACTTTCGTCATGGGCCGAGAAGCTGCAGGTCAAGGCATTTAGAGCTGACTGTGCTGATGTGTGCATTTGTTATCTTGATAAGCCCTCATCTATCCTGTCTTCGAGGAGTCAAGAGAATATGCTTTTTATAATGACTCAGCTTCTGCGGGCCTTGACTTTAGTGTGATGACACATTTTAAAAACACCAAACAGGGGCAGACCTGTAGGATAGGGTACATTCAGTAGGGCAGAGTGCACATGTGGCCCCTTTACTGAAGAAGAAATAGGAATGAATTGGTTTCACACTTACACGCATCTGTTAAAGACCTGGGGCCCCGGCTGGGACTCCGTTGAGCCTCCAAGGTTCATACAACGGTCATAAAAGAGACATGCATCTGAGAGGCAGAACCAGGTGACTAACAGGTAGGGGTCTCTGCTCAGTTCTCTAGTCTCCACGAGAGTGTGGTTTGGGTTCCAGACTGATTAAAAAAACTTTTTTAGGATACTGAGAGCAACACAATTTGGGGGAATTACCTGTTGAAGATAGATTAAAATAAATATTCAGGCTGGTGACTGGAAGGCCATTGTGTAACTCTCCTGAAACTTAATCCTGGAATCGTCTTCCAGACAGGAAGAGAATGAGTGAGTGGTGGAGAGTCATTTTCCTCTATCCGTTTAGGCTTTGAGAGGGAATTTTGTTGTATATGAAAGGATTCGGGCATTTATAAAGGTTCACTACGTTGAAGGACTAAGTGTAGAAGGGTGCTGTAATAAGTTGCCAAAGCAAATTTGGGTCATTAAAGAGGAATAAAGAGAGTTGTTTTTCTGGGAGCGTTGGATGCAGAGAAATGACTTAGAAGACCGTAGAGATGTATAATTCACAAACTATAAACAGTCGGTATATGTGCTTATACCTTTAGGTTTCCTAGGCATACTCTTCAGTTGTTTGTAATAGAATGGAACATTTGAGCAACATGGGTAAGGCTTTCCTTTCTTGGGATTCCCCTTAAAGATACCATTGGGCCTTACTGGAAACCCTCCTACCTCTTGCCCAAGTCCCAGTCCCTTCCCACTCCACATAGGAAACTGGTAGCTCAGAGTCCAAGAGCGCCGTCTGTCCGCTCTGGGACGAACCCCAACCTGCTCGTGGCAATGCAGTGAAGTGACCAGGAAGGGGGACGTTCCCTCAGAGCCATTTTTCTGGAGCTATTACAGATGTTCCCTTGTGCTTTTCATGGTATGATGTGATGATAATTTTATTTGTAAAACATTCAGTTAGCATGGGGAAAGTTCTAACTGCCTTTCCCCCTTTGTCCTTAAAGTTTATCCATGCTTTTCATAAATATTGTTTAACACCTACTATGTGCCAGGTACTGGGTATACAGTGTAAACAATGGTGACCGAAACCAATGCGATTCCTGCTTTCGGGAAGCTCGGAGCCTTGGGCGGCTGGTGGTGGTGATGGTGGAGGGTAGAGGCATTAAACAAATGAACACGTAAATAAATAATCGTGTATAATGGTAAGTACTGTGTGGGAAGAGAACAGGTTCTCATAAGAGAAAAGAGCGGGAAGGACATGATTTAAAGAAGATCGCAGATAGCCTTTCTGAGGCAAAGACCTGAAGAATAAGGAGTTTTTCTAGTGATGAGTAGGGGAAGGAGGGCTGATGCGGGGGCGGGGGGACCAGTTTGTGCAAAGGCCCTGCAGTAGCTGGAGAGATTGTGTAGATTGAGGGCTTTACTGAAGAACAGTGGGAGCCAGTGAGTATTAAAAGCATAGAGGTGGTGTAATCCACTGCTCAGAAATCTCTGTGGCTGCTGGGTGGAGAATGGCTTTGCAGCAGGCGTAGTTTGGAATCAAATAAACAAAATAGGGGGCCACTGCAGTAATCCAGGGGACCAATGTTGGTGGCTTGGACTAGGTTGATGGCTGTGGAGATGGACAGAAGTGGGTGGATTTCAGAGATACTCTGGAGGCTCAGATGGTATGGCTTGTGATGGATTGGATGTGGGTGGGGGCGAGTGAGAGGAAGTGATGCGAATGAACAAATGAAATAGGAGAGCTTGCTGTTGACAATGAACCAGGAAGTGAGGGCTGCTTTCTTTTCCCAACAGTCATTGCGCTAGGGTGAGGTCACCATCACCAAGACAGTTTTGGGCAGTGACACCCGTGAGTTGAGTTGAGTCTGCTGCTGGAGTGCATTAGTGGGAAACACAATTAAAACTAGGGTGTGTATATGTGTGTCTTCAAGTATTTACAGTTTTAATACAGGCCAGGTC